GATTTATCACGGTTAATGTTTGCAAAAGTGCATTGTGTCCCTTGACCAGTCTCTCAGAAACATACACAGTAATTTCCTAGGTTTTCTCCTTAAAAAGAAGTGAAATTATGTGTGTGTTTATATATTAAAAAAATATATATAATTAAATACTTGGACTGAGAACAGCCTAAAGCTCACATTCTCATTTTCATCCTGATCAGTGTGCTTCTAAAACATGCCCTGCAGGTAATGAAACTCTGAATGGAACATCATCTACCCTGCAGACTACCAAAATTCAAGCTTCTACTTTAAAGAAGCCATAAAAATAATTTGCTTGGAAAGCCAAGGGTAAAATCTCATGTAAAACACACTGTGCTTAGACCAAAGTATGCCAGCTATCTAAACTGCAAAAGAACAAAAAACCCAGCCCTACAAACACACCAAATTCCACAAGCTACGGTTTGTCTCTGAATGACAAAAGTAGATCAGGCTGATCAGCTTGATGTCAGCAGTGACTGCCCATGCAGCCTATTTCAAATGTAGCATAAGTTTCAGAAGCCTTTTTCAAGTGCAGAGAGAGAAAAGAAAACGAGTATTTTCTAAAGAGAGAGTCAAAGCATATTTGACGACTTTTTTTTTCATATTTGATGAAGCTTTCTAGCAAGTGAGGAAGGATTCAATTGGTATTGCAGAGGTTTGTAGCTCCCATGCAGAAGTGTGGTGGGAAGTCCAACCTCAGAGAAACAAGACTGTTCATGGAAATAGCAGACTCTTTTGAGAAAGTTTAAGCAGACTTTGAATGCCATTCCATGTTTCTGAGAGTATAAATTGGTGATCTTCTAGTCAGTGATTCTTTCTGAATTTACACTTGGCACAGCCTGTAATATTCTCTATGATAGAAAGGCAACTGGGATTACTGGTGCTCTCTGTCATTTTGCTGAACTAAGCAGCAGGCTGTGGCTAAGTGACAGCACAGCTGGAAGACTTGACACCAAATCTAGCCTCTCATGGTTCTTGGAGTAGTTCCCTTGTAAACACTGGAGATGGATCATAAATGGGAATTGTTGGGGATGCTGTAACTGCTAAAGCAACGACAAATGCACTGGGAGGAAGGAAGCTGACTCCAGCAGTATTCTGTTGGCTTTGATTACAGTTATTTTTAAAGCACTTTTGATTTTCATACGTGTGTTTCTAATTAACCCAGACATGACCCAAAACTATCATTAAAAAAACCCCCAAACAATACCAAACAAAAACCCAAAACAAAAACAAAACCAAAAAAACAAAACCCAAAAAACCAAAACCCATAAAACCCCTGAACCCAATCTGTGGTTCTGCTCCTCTGTACTGATTAGCAGAGGCAATGAAAGACCTAGTTCTCCTTTGTGTAATTTCATGTGTTTCAGGCCTTAGTCACAATGTGAAAGTCTGAGCTGACTGGAAGTGAAGCCTGATTTAGCCTGAGCACTGTGTGCAGTGAGGATTGTCCCTCCCATGCACCTTCAGGAGCTGCTTTCTTTCTCTCCCAAGGTGGCTGGCAGCGTTTGTATTTCCTGGCAGCGTTCAACTATGGCAGTAACGATGCCCTGCCTGCACCAGAGACTTCCAAAGGGTGGTAGCACAAGAGCCAGAGCAGCCTGTGGTGTCGTACAGCACAGCTCCTGGTTATGCTCCAGGGCTCTGTGTCTGTATGAGATCAGTGGTGCTGCTGGTAGAGATTAATTATTCTCATAGGTGAGAGCCTTGACTTTACTGCTGCTCTCTAGGGCATTGTTTTATACTTTATACATTGTTCATACGTGCAAATTTGTGTTACTGTTGGTTCAGGCTGTAGGTCTCTAACAAAGTTTTCACTGCCATCCCTTTGTGCTGAAAATTTGCAATACCTGATTTTCTATTTGTCTGGAGTAAGGACCAATATCCAGAAACTGTTTTACTAGTCTCAAAGCAGTATAGGTGTAGGTTTAGGGAAATGGTGTGGAAGATACCAATTCATGGAGGAGCTACAAGTGAAAAGAACTGCAAGAATTAATGTAGCTGCCTTGGGGTGCTACAGAGTTGCTTAGAACATAAAACCTGGTAGAGCAGTACAGTCGATAAATCATTGGTCTGCAGAGTAGAGATGGAAAAGACTTGGTAAATTATTCAGTACCTTTTCCTGATAAAGCAGTGTTTGTTTCTAAAACATTTTCATTTCTACTTTCCAATCCAGACAAATTTTGATGCCCCCTACTTCCTAATAGTAATTATTTACAGCCTGCCACAGTCTCTCCAGGAAAAGAAAACTACTTTTGTGGTCAAGGCACAACACTGAGACTCAAAAGATTTAATTTTTATTTCCTGACTCTGAATTAGGCTTTGTGACTGGGCAGAAAAGCTTGCTTCTGAGCAGGAAACATGAGGCTTCATTGCCTCTTTCTCATCTGGATTTCAAATTTGTTTAGTCAGGGCCCGTCTCTACTTTTTAGATTTAGTTGAATTTTTCTTCCTTCCTTTTCTTCCTTCCTTTTTCTTCCTTCCTTTTTCTTCCTTCCTTTTTCTTCCTTCCTTTTTCTTCCTTCCTTTTTCTTCCTTCCTTTTTCTTCCTTCCTTTTTCTTCCTTCCTTTTTCTTCCTTCCTTTTTCTTCCTTCCTTTTTCTTCCTTCCTTTTTCTTCCTTCCTTTTCTTTTCTTTCATTTGGAAATAAAGTGTGTTTAACCAAATAGCTTATTTTGCAGAAAAAAATGTAATACTTGAGAGACATCTTAAAGCAGAAATTATTTTAATATAATCAGCCCTCGATGGTGGTAATTCTCTGTTTGCAAAGCAGGCAACACTGGTTTCCTAAAAATAAGGAAAATAATTTTCTGTGCTTTCAGCAATTGGTTCTAGAGTTTAAAAGGCAAGCCCAGTATCGTTGGCCTAGAAGAGCTGACACACCGCTGTGAGCTTGGTTCTGCAGGCTGCAAAGATTTTTTTGTATGGCAAGAATTCCATTTTCACAGTGTTAGATTTCCTCTAGATTCTTCCCAAGAAAGAGGACATGGGCCACTTTTAACACAAAAGCTGCCATTGGTTATGTGGGATCAATACTCCTGGGAAATCATTCTGTACTTCTCAAGATACTTTATAATGAAATGCAGTAGGTGAAAACCTTGTAGGCAAGTACTGATATGGCCAGTCAGTTCTTGGCAGACAGTGTTCAAATGCTGTGTCCAAAAACTGACATAAATGTGTTTCTGAAAGGAGCACAGGAATGTACAGAATAGGAACCATGATAAAATGCATTTGCATTTATAACCTGAGATGTAATCTGATAGACTGTGAAAGAGCAAATGCTTTTGAGAGTTACTGGAAAATATTATTAGCTTAAATTTCCCCAACCCCTTTGAAGTCAGTACCATTAGGCCAACACTTGGAATTTGTGTAAGTCACGTTTTCAAATTTGATATAGAATATTGGCTTTCATTGAGAGATCTGATATGTTAGTTGCCTTCAGTTCATATTGTCAACAGTCGTGAGGGTGGGTTGGCAGCGGCACTGCCTGCTGTCAACAGCCTCGCTTCATTCCCTCCTGCAGTTTGTCTTTTCAGTCTGGGATGTCAAAAACACTTTATTGATTATGCATTGGGAAACTTAATCTGGTTAAATGGATACTGCCCTAAAACAACAGGTATTTGAAGGTGAGAGTAGCTAAGCTGATGCTAGTGGAGAAAGATGTAGAAAGATCAGAAGCAAAGATTGACCATTCAAATAGGACAAGGTTTCTTTTAACTCTTATGGGAGCATCAGAAAAAAAAACCTACCTAAGAAAATGGTGGACTGTCCATTGCTTCATGTTTTCAAATGAGACAGGATGCCTTTTAGAAGCTATGTGGCCATGCACAATTTACTAACCTCAATATTTGGGTAAGAAGGTGAAATCTAGTGGACTGTAATATGCAAGAAATGAGGTGAATTGCTGAATCTTTATGGCCTTTTAGTCTGTGTTCTTTAAAATAAATCCATTGTCCATCTTGGCAATGGTCTTTGTGGTGAAATCTCCTTTTGTGAAGAAGTTTCAACAAATTGGCAAGAAATAAGACAAAAATGGAAGCATAAGAGGTGTTTCTAGCAATTCCTTATTATGAACGTCTAAAAGGCGTTAAATATGGGAGTTCCACGTATAAAAGCAGAAGGCAAAGACCAAACCACACAAAGTCAGGTAGTATGTATGACTATGAAAATGTGTTCAGATAGGATCTAATCTAGTGTCCTTTGTAGTCAACAAGAATCTAATAGCTGGTTCTTGGATGTAAAGGTTGACCAAATATAGTCTGTTTTGTAAAGAGCATGCAGGCTTTTTTTTTTTTTTTTTTTGTGTGTGTGTGTTTTTAAAATCACTCTGTCAATACAGTAACTGTAGGTTTTTGCACGGTGTCTTTCATGAAAACTGAACCAGAAACCTAATCTCTTTCCTGAGATTACCTACCTGAACAGAAAAGCTTCTGCCCTGTTGAGTGGTGTACTATGAGTATGCAGGCTTTCTGAAACTCCCCCTTCACACTGTGGGAGAAGGAAATTCTTGGATTTTTTGCAGGGGTTCTGATGAAACATCAACATTTGATGTTCTCTGTGTGCTGAATCACTGCTACTTACGTAACGTCACTGGTTGTTGTTATTGTCACTCCATCCCTTTTTCAATCCTCTTCATTCATTCCTTGCTGAGTGAAGCAAGAAGATATACTTACAAAGGGATCATAATATCTAAATTCTGGGAAATACATGCCAGAATCATTAATTATTTATTTTTGTGGGACAGAGAACTTTCAAAGATTGTGTGATCTGGAGTGTACAAACTCTTTTTTTTTCCCCCCAGCAAGGTAGGTTGGTCAAATCCAAAGATTTCATCCAAGCTCTTAGTAATGTTCTATTCTGAATTGTAAATTGCAAGCTTAATGTTTCTAAATTGCAGATTTCCCATATTTTCATGTATATTTACATAAGAATTTGAGCCAGTATAGTGTATTTTTTTTTTTTTTTGTTCTTGGCGGCTGTTGCAGGTAATGGCAAACACGTGCAGTGGCTACGTGGGATGGATGGTGAGGTCTGGGTCTGGGTTATGGGAGAAGCCCCAGGTGACAAGCCGTATGAACAGATATCAGAGGAGCTAATAGCAGAGAGAGCCAGGCAGCAAGCACAGAAGGAGGCAGAAGAACTATGGTGAGGATTTAAGAATCTGAATTCGGGGTCCACTTGGCTAATGGGAGACATGGCCTTGTAGAAAGGTGGCAGGTAATGGTGGGTAAAACTGGTAAGTATGTTTTGTGAACATTTACTTTCACTTCTTTTTGGCAATGTTTCATTGCATGAAAAATATAATTTTATTTTTATTGAATATTGAAAAGCAAAACCCCTCTTTCACTAAAAAAAAGTGAAGCAAACATTTTTCTTTTGGGGAATTTTGCTAAACCACCGACAAGTCTGTAAATAAATAAAAATGAAACAATCTTGTTTTGAGATTATTAAATGAGAAATGTCTATTGGATCACACATCTAGGCCCACAATGGGAACTTGGTACGTAAAATCCTTTTTGAAATTGGTTTCTTATCCCAGCAGTTCAGAAATTGATTACACAAAGTGCCATGCTGGTGTTTCCAGCAGGGCTTCTTCCAGTTTTGGGAGAGATTCAGAAGTCTTGTTGTGCTTTACATTGTTGGGAAGTAGACCACCTGCCTCCTGCACTTCCTTTTGTAGCACAGCACTCTAAAGTGGCAATTTAAATATCAGATTATTCTGTATTATTCCTTTTCACATGAGATTCTCCTTGCTTGTAGTGATTGTATATTTAAGCGGGGATTAAAAACTTCAACCTGTGTTCTGCATTCCTTTTGCTTTGTTAGTACTAACAAAAAACCTAGTGTAAGAATTTAGTAGACATTTGCATTTATGTTTGAGAAACAATAAATTCCCAGTCATGCTTTGCTAGACTGACAGAAAAATCTATTTTTTCAGCCAGGGAAGGAAAAATTTAGGGTGTGACTCAAAGACGTTCAAAAAGTACTTGTTCAGTTTAGAAGGTGCTATTTTAATTAGTCACTTATAAAAAACTGAAAATATCTGCTTTCTGGATAGTTTCCTCAGATATGATTTGTGGTAGGTCTCTTGTTAAATACATTTTAGTTCTTTCCATGTATATTTCCATGAAGTCTTATGCTAATTATTTGTTGTAATCAGTGAGCAAGTATTGATCTCAATTTTAAAAAATAATTTTTCATTTTCAAATAAATTTTTATTTTCAATTTCTTTTCTGAAGGAGACAAAAGGAGGCTGAAATTACAAAGAAATTCCGGGATGCTATGGCTCAAGAAAAAGCCAGAATAGTGGCAGAAAAATGGAAAATAGAAATAGAAGATCGGAAAGCTGCCAAATTGGAGGAAGAAAAAATTCAGGAGGAACTGAAGGTTTGCATAGAATAATTTAGCTTTTAATTTATTTTTTTTTTATATAGAATCAAAGTTCTTGTCACCTTCAGTGCATATTTATTAATGAGCTTTAAAACCAAGAGTTGTAATTTTTTCGTCCTGGAAAGTACAAATAGCTACATGGTGTTCACTAGAACAGCTGGGTGTGTGATGCAAAAAAATTACATATCTCATTCAAAAATGTCAGGACAATCAAACTGGTTATTCAACTCATACATTATCAGAATTGTTCAGTCAGCTGTGCTGACTGAATCATACTGGGGAAAAAATGTACAATTGTGAAATGTCTCATTCTAAGTAAGTTTGCTTGAACATATTCTGTGTATTTTGGATGAGTTGTTCACACATTTCACTTCAAAATTCTGTCACTACTTTCTTAAAGAAAATTAGTGGTGAATCCTTGTCCTGCTCAACATATAGGAAAAGTCCAGTTCGCTTTTCTGGGAGAAGTTCATTTGCCTGATTTTTATTGACTTCATCATGAATTTTCTGTGAGCTCAGTTGTAGTATTTTAATGTTTGTTTCAAATAAATTTTTTTACATTCTCTTGTCAAAAATAACAATTTGAAAATTAAACAGGAGAAGGAGGCCTCTATCTACTCTTTTCGTATTGCTTTATAAAGATATAATTGGTTTACTGTCCAGAGAAATTATCAAAGGCTTCTGAGTCTGGGATGTGCCCTGTGGGACCGCACAGAATTGGTGAAGCTGGGTTTCCATGGAGAAAATCTGTAGCAACATGACTCCTAGGAAATCTGCATCCAGTGACTTCTGTCTACATGCCTCTACCCTGCTGACAGCTTGCTATGTCATTTTTGCCTTCCTGGGATGGCAATGAAAGGCGTGGAAAGTGCAGGCAGACTCCCCCCTTGCCCCTCTGTGATGGGAGGGATGCTGAAAAACTCAGCGTTAAATTTATGCAGTTTGATTACAAACTAGAGTCAGCAAGTCCCTTGTCATTCTATAAACTGTGGGACTGGGGTTTGAGGGTGGTTATGTAGCGCAAAGAAAGATAGTTCCCGTAGCATCCTCTGCATGAAGGTGCTGATTTACCTTTGCACATTTAGTTTGAATATGAGAGAACAGGGGCTTTGAAATTTGATGTCAATGAGTAATGAAACTATACCTTTCAAGTGCCTTTATTAATGTATGAATAATGAGCAGAGCAACTAATTAAATGCTCTTTCATCTGCTTTCTGGAAGGCAAAACCCTCTTGAGCAAAGACTGATACAGACCTGTTCGCTTATATCTCTGTGGTTGATTTACAGTGCACTTGATGGGGTAAATGTTCACAACCTCACTGCTGTTCTTCTTTTTCAAAGATACTTTTTGAAAAAGCAGAGTGAGCAACTTGTGAGACTTTTAGTGACCAGCAGTCATAGTTTTCAATTAAGGAAAACTAGTCTTTTGGTTGTTGCTACAATTTAAAAGAATGGCACCAAATTCTGCTCATCATCATATTGATGGAAAGGTGATGTCTCAGTGATCTGTGTTCCTGCTGTTTCCTGGGACATGAGGAGATATCCACCATCCAGCTGTGTGCCTTGTAGGAGCAAGAATTGCACTGCTGTAAGTGGGATGAGAATTTCATTCAGTTTCTACTTTGAATTTCAAATACTAACCTTTGGCCAGGATTTCTTTAGCCCTATTCATAGAGTCACCAACATCTTTATCTTATGAAAGAAACTGATTTTTTTTTTCCGCCTATTGTTTCCTTTAAATCAAGCAATTGAAGAGAATGTTTGCAAAAAATGAAATGAATGGACCACAATTTTTAAGACCCAGCAGAAATGAACTCTTTGGCTTCAAAAATTAGTTTGGAAGCAAGACATTATGCAGAGATTACTTTTTAAGTGCCCCTTTATTGAGTGTGCTCTCAGGATTTGCTGTATTAATACAACGTAGTCTTAATAACACTTCCAGCCTTGGGTCTTCAGTTAGGTCTATACTTTTGAGATCTGTTAGGAGGGACTTAGACTAACATAGGGTTCCACCAGCAGAGATCCAATTCCACCAGCAGAGATCCAAATGCGGGATTGGTCCCTGGTACTATACACCACACCTTTGCTACTCGGAAAAGCAGCTTATCTATTGGTTGGTCTTGGAAGAGCTGATCTTTTGTATAGTGCTATAGAACTGCTTAAAAACAGTGAAGGCATTTCAAGGGCAAGTGAATCTCTCAGACTAATTTGGGAGAGTTGTTGATTGCTCTGCCCACTGGCTTCTTTAAGCTCACTTGGCTTTCCTTCTCCTTTCCATTTTACTCTTTTTATAACTACTATTGTGTAGTCGAAAAAGGACATGAAATATTTACAAGCTGAATGAGTGGAAAGGTACCTAGACAGGAAAATAGGGAAGTTATATTTCTGGCATCTAACTCCAACTACAAAAAGTGAATAGAACTAAGGTGTTGGGAAAAAGATTAACGAATCTACTCATCTATGACTGCAATCATTGAAATCACAAAGAAATGTACCTTTCATTAATGATTCAGGGTGTGGAATGAGATGCAGATCCGTTAGCAAGCCCACTTTAACATATTAAATATTTAATGCATTGGTAATCATCCTTCTGTGACGAGGACCAGGCTGTGTTTAAAGCAGTCTCCAAACTGGGGTATAAAAATTCAGTCTCTGCTAATCCTTCATCCTCTTGAAACATTTTGACCTGGGAGATTGAAACTCTGTTTCTACTGATGTGTTCAGTTTCTAACCATATCATATCACAAACGCTCCTTTTTAAAACACTTTTATTCCTCTTGACCTATCATGGGATTTTAGGGCTGTCTGCACTAGATAAATGATATCTTGCATATCAAAGTGAATGATGATCCCTTTTTCCTTTTCCAGTGCTGTTAGAAAGTATTGCCTACCTTGGTGTTTCTTAAGCAGAAATGTTTTTAATTTATGATGATAGAATATAAGTGTTGACTGCTCTATTTTTGCAGTTTAAGAACAGCTAGTCTTTTATGCACCTGTTGCAAAGGACTAATAAGAGAGCCAATTACTACCATTAATCTTTTTGCTAATTCATAAAGGCTATGAGATCATAGGCATAATTTCCTGCTGTTATCAGTTGCTGTCATTAAGAATCTTGAACAATGTGCAGAGCTCAGGTATGAGTGTCAGCCAGCAAGGGTGCGTGATATCCTTCAGCCACATTTAGCAATAACAGAGAGACACTCTCTTAGCTTGTTCTTCATTCGGTTTACATAAAGCAAGAGAATATTAATAGTAAAGTACTACTTGCATGACAACATCAGATACCTGCCAAATATAATAAGCACAGTTCACAGTAAAGCTAGAATGCTTCTTAAAAATTCCTTGGGAGGCAGAATGTGTGTTAACCAAAAACTGCATATAAAATGTTGTAGGCATTGTTTTTCTTCATGAATCAAAAAATATTTACTAGGAGTTTTAATGAGAGTGGCACTTAAGTAGAAATAACCATTATTTTGTTGGTAGGCAACAAGACAGTAATAGCGTATTATAATTTCCTTCAACTTTTTCTGGTGCAAATCCATGGCCTTTAATTCCAGTTGGGATTGTAGTTTGTGAAGTGAGCTTCTTTAAGATTTGGATCCAAGAGTTTCTATGTCCTGGCTGTTTCTCATCAAAGAAGACAGGTTTAGAATCAACCTTCAGAGAAAAACTGAATAATCAGTGCTTCAGCTCAGGAAATCTCTAATAAGGACAGCTTATGCTTAATAGGAAGAACACACTTCAGTCCTGTTGACTTAGATGGGCTTTCAACATGCCTGAGTGCTTCACTGGGCCCAAAGTGCTGTGGACCTGATTCTTCAGGCAGTTACTGACAGATGTAGAGTTTAAGAATACAGTAAAACAGTCACCATCACCACTTGCAGCACCATGAGCTTCTTATGATGTAGCAGTGAGCACTCTGTCCTGATCTCAAAAAACCTCTTGTCTCCAAGTAAACATCAAGCACTTGAATAGGCCTGTTGTCTTTAAGTGCAAATGAGCTGTAAAGTGAGCTCTCTGCTTTGCTGTGTCAAGAAAACACTGAACACTTTCCCAAGGACAATGTACTTAGAATTCAGGAATATGACAACAGCTTCTTGCTGCGGTTTGGCACCTGGCTCATTCTGAAAATGTCTTAGTTGGGTCCATTCAGTCACAGTTGCAAGAATTCAGTAATACTTCATTTTGTTTGCTTTTGTGACCACAGTTCAGAAATTCTTTTTTCTATGCAGTTTTCTCTCTAACAATTTTGGAAGTGAGGCAGCTGTTGGTTTCAGCTGGGAATTGGGTCTTGAGGATTTTTCTGTCCTACTTGTGAGGAAATGTGATATTAATTCTAAAGAAAAATCTTTTTCCCAGTGACATCAGTAATGATTACGCTGCTGAAGCCACTGTCTCTATTCTGAATCATTAGTAAAAACTAGCAAAGCTCTGGTATTTTCCAGAAGTAAATAGGAAAATCTGAGCCACTAAACAAGAATAGTTTACGTATCAGGAACTCAAGCTGTGAAGGGTCTCTATGATCCAGAGACAAACTCTTAGTAGATTGTCACTGGATCCATGGCAAGTTACCTGAGCAGACTCCAGCACGTGCAGTGAATCTCAGATCTCTCCCAATCAGGAATAGTCCTTATCTCTGTTTTCTGTCTCATCTAAAGAATCATAGAATCATTAAGGTTGGAAAAGACCTCAAGGATCATCAAGTCCAACTGCCAATCCCCCACCACCTAACTCACTAAACCATGTCCCTAAGCACCACATCTACACATTTCTTGAACACTTCCAGGGATGGTGACTCCACCACTTCCCTGGGCAGCCTGTTCCAATGCCTGATCACTCTTTCAGTGAAGAAATTCTTTCTAATATCTAGCCTAAACCTTCCCTGGTGAGGCTGTTTCCTCTTGTCCTATCACTTGTTACTTTAGCGAAGAGGCCAGCACCCACCTCACTACAACCTCCTTTCAGGTAGTTGCAGAGAGTGATAAGGTCTC